GACTCGCTAGCAGCATAGCCTCTTCACCTGTCCTTCCTGCACCTGGATGTGCAGTGGAGAGCAGCTACATGAGCCCTACTCATACAGAGGTCAATTATCTTGGTAATAGTTTTACATCTTCACTGTGTACGACTCTACTGTGGGTCTGCTGAAAAAGAAAGTACTTGAATCAGAAGTACTTGACGTGGTATAACTCTCAAATGTGGACCTTAAAGCAGATAACTCATAAGCTGGAGAGTAAATGGCATCTCACAAATTTAGAAGATTTTCATTTAGCCTGGAAACATAGTTTGTTGCTCTACAAAAATACCCTCTGTGAAGCCAGAACCTCTTGTTATTCATCACTGATTGAAGGAAATAAGAATCCTGATTGTGATTCTTCATCACTGTAACCAGGCGTGCAAAAACTCAGAGCTATGTTGAGCCAAGAATTCCTTTAATCATAACGAGTAATGACTTTATGAATTTCATCACAAATAAAACATTTTAAAATTACTCATAACCATCTCACAGACATAAATGGCACTAGTGAAGGTTATAAACGATCTTCTTGTGGCTTCTGAGAGTGGACTCATCTCTTTCCTCGTCCTGCTAAAACCTCAGTGCAGCGTTTGATTCTGCTGACCATATTGTATCACAGCGAGAGCATACTGTAGCTATTCAGTGCGCTGAATCATATCTATCTAATAATTTCCAGTTTGTTCATGTAAATGAGTAATCCTCATCACACAATAAGGTTAATTATGGTGTTCCACAGGGTTCAGTGCTAGGACCAATTCTGTTTACATTATACATGCTTCCCTTAGGCAGTATCATCAGAAGACATAGCATACATTTTCACTGCTATGCAGATGACACTCAACTTTATCTATGCATGAAACCAGATAACACACACCAACTAGCTCAACTACAGGAATATCTGAAAGACATGAAGACATGGACCTGCTTCTAAATTCAGATAAAAATGAGGTTATTGTATTCGGCCCAAAAAATCTTAGAAATTAGGTATTTAACAACATTCTTACTCTGGATGGCATTGGGTTGGCCGTCAGCAGCACTGTGAGGAATCTTGGAGTTGTTTTTGATCAGACATGTAGGACTGCTTTCTTCCATTTGTGCACCATCTCTAAAATTAGATAATAATCATCTATTTATTACTTCTAGGCTGGACTACTGTAATTCCTTTTTTATCAGGATGTCCTAAGAACTCCCTGAAAAGCTTTCAGTTGATTCAAAATCCTCCTGGAAGAGTACTGACAGGGACTAGAAAGAGAGGTTCCTCTTCATTGACTCCCTGTCAAATGTAGTTTTAAAACTCTTCTCATCACATACAAAGTCTTGAATAATCAGGCCCCATCTTATCCTACATTGTACTGTATCACCCCAGTCCACTACTTTGCTCTCAGACTGTTGTTTTACTTGTGGTTCCTACATGGGAGGCAGAGCCTTCAGCTTCCAGACCCGTTTTCTGTGGGACCAGCTTCCAGTTTGGCTTCAGGAGACACCTCAACTTTTAATATTAGGCTTAAAACTTTCCTTATTGATATTTGTAAATTTAGAGATTCTTCCCTTACTTACGCTGCATTGGGCCTAGGCTGCAAGAGGCTTCCTATAATGCAATCAGTGTTTCTTTTTTACTCACCTTTTTTGTTCACTCACTATGTGTTTATCCAAAAAGGTTGATTCTGTTCATCTGGACATAGTGTTTTCAGTGGGAGAAATGCATGTTTATATACCGATCTGCATTTAATCGTTGGTCGTTATTTGTCTCTGGCTCTCTTCCACAGCGTGTCTTTGTCCTATCTTCTTCCCTTCACCCCAACCAGTCGAGGCAGACGGCTGACCCTCTCTGAGCCTGTTCTGCCTGAGGTTTCTTCCTGTTAAAAGGGAGTTTTCGCTTTCCATTGTCGCTGAAGCGCTTGCTCATAGAGAGGTGTTTGATTGTTGGAGTTTTCTCTGTTTTCTCTCTATTATTGAATTGAAGTGCTGGGTTACTTTCTCAAGCGGATTTGTTGTAGTATTGGCATCATACTACAGGATGATGCTCGAATTTATTTAGCGCTTTAGAACAACCAATTCTTTCATGGTTGTTTGTAAAAGCAGACTGCACGGCTAGGTGCAGTCTTCACACTCCTGTTTCAAGGTAATCCAAAGATTTGAAAACATCCCTTTAACTCCAAATGGTTAATGGACTTCTTCTTATTTAGTACTTTATCCACATATGTTCTTTTTTTCTATATCTAAGTGCTTTCTATCTAATAATCTCACTCCAGTCAATGCATCAGTTGCAATCGGAGGTTCAGTTTCTTGTCCAAGGATATTTCAGCCTGCAGAATGGAGCAGCCAGGAATCGAACTACCAGCTGTCTAAATGGTGGATTACCTGCCTTTTTTTGTTAGCCTCTGCTACCCCAAATAGGATGGTAACCATTTCTCAAGTAATGGAGTATTACTGGGATTTTAAGCTGTAACTGCGTGGCTGTCCACACTATTAACCTTTACACTGGACTCACTGAAGAGAATGGAAACTGAATTAGACTTGGATCAATTGTCTTATTACACAAGTGATTAAACTACAGAATGTGTCCCTCGTGGTCTTTATTGTTCAACCAGAAATTTTATATATATATATATATATATATATATATGTAGTGGTGGCACTTATACTGAAAAATGTCTCCTTCGCCATTTTTGGAAATACTAGACAAAATGACAAATACATTTAATTCATCTTTGTTAGAAACAAGAGCCTAAATAAAGCACATCTCTGCATTTAATTAGTTGCTATTATTAATCTTTGTTTCTCTTCTTCTCTTCTTCTTCGTGTCTTTGTCCTGTCTTCATCCTCTTACCCCTGACCGGTGTTGGCATATGTCTGCCCCTCCCTGAGTGTGGCCTGCTGGAGGTTTGTTCCTGTTTAAAGGGAGTTTTTCCTTCCCACTGTCGCCAATACGCTTTGTCACAGGGGGTCAAATGATTTGGGGGGTTTTCTCTATTTTTTTGTATTATTGTAGGTCCTTTTCTTTACAATATAAAGTGCCTTGAGGCAACAGTTGGGATTTAGTGCTATATAAATACAATTGAAATGAATTGAATTAAATAAAGCAAATGCTTTCTATGTGCAGAAAAAAAGGCTTTGTAAAATGATTAGAAATTCTATTACACACTTGAGCATGATATCAAGAGCTTTTTTAGAATCTTTATGGTCCATTAGAGGAAATGACTTCCACACTCTAAGATCAGTGCAATTTTCATATTTAATACACCCTTTTGGCCTATACTTCCTGCATTAGAACCTTATTACCTTCATGCAAGTCTTATTTAGGCAGGCAGATTGACTAGACAAGACAGATGCAGTGGCTACAGGACTTTTTACACAAAGGAGATATTTTACACTCTCGTATTAACTTATAGTCAGGAGACAAAGGAACTCATTTCATACTACTCTGCTGAATTCTTCTGACTTCACTGGTAAAACATGCATAACCACATTTAATGTAAATACTTAATGAGATTAAACTGCTTCTTGCTATTCTACAGTATTAAGAAAAACATGTTGCAGAGGACCAGACTAGGACATTTTACACCAATACGCTCTCCTGAACAGCTTTGTTTCACTGCAGGAATGTTTCTGGCTAGCATACAAGCAGGCTGTTTTCATTCTGAGTGGCTGATGAGTTGTTCGGAGTCCACATCTTGGTCAAAGCTTTGCTACAGACGTCAGACATCCGTCAGATAGCTTATAAAGCAGAGTACCTCCAGATGGGCTCTATCACAGGCAATACCGTTTAATGTAACTATTTCCAGCTCTACTCTGAGTTAGGCAATACTCCCTAGGTATAAACACATGCACACATATTTGGCATGCAGATACAACATGCCAATTATAATAGCATGCAAGTTCAGTACAAGTTTATTTTGTCCAGCTCAATTCTGTGTGTCATCTATTATTTAAACACACACCCACGCGTACATTTGTTCTCCCAAAAAGCTGTCATTGATGATATCGGTTAAATAAAAGCAGAAATTAAAGTTACTCAGAGTTGCTTTATATGTCAGACAGAATAAAATGAGGGCTGTAAAATGTCATAAAGGAACAAGATAAATAAAAAAAAAGGGAAATGGATCAAAATATCATCTAACTTAAACTTATTGCTTCAGCTGAGTCCAAACTACACATTTAATATGAGCCCTAAAACCCACACCCCGCCGCATTTCCATAATCCCTCATACTTTTCTCCATACTATAATAAAACTTGACGAGATGGAAGAAGAGTGCGGTGATGAGAAGAGTGACAAGTTTACCAAGTAGCTTAAGGCGCAAAGATACTTTGGCGTCACCTGCTGGACGGAACAAGCTGCCTCCCGGTTTAACTGACTGGCTTCCATAAATAATTAGAAAGCGGTCGTGGTTAGCGTGTTTGTAGATGCGAGGGGAGATGAATTGGTGCTTTACACGAACTAGACGTGTGAGAGAAAATGATGGAATAAAACAGTGAAATAAATTATGATGAGGATGACGCAACTGAAATGATCACTTACGCATTTTTACGGTTCATTGTTGCCTTTGTCAAGCTTCAGAGACTTTAATGTTGTGTTTATGTGTCACATGTGTCATTCATATTAAACTACAGCCAAATGGACAAATACACAAAGTACATGAAAGAAGCAAATGATATCGCTCACATTGGGCCAATGTGGATAAAATGCGCATAGCATTTCGTGAAAAAGACTCACAGGTCTGTTCCTGCTTGACTTTGCAAGTAACTAGACTTTTACGGTTGTAACGACTTCCTGGTGTATTTAAGAGTGTTTAAAATCTGTTTTTACATTAGACCACCAGGCAAAACATTTGTAATTTCCCCCACGAGAGCCACACAGACTGAGTGTTACTGTGCGTGTTTCAGGCGAACGGAGGAAGGAGGGTGGGAGGTAAACGGTCCTCATTAAGCTACCGTTTGGACTTTCCCTCAAGTCCTTCAAGTCTGCTTTCAGTCTCTCTATCAGCACCACTGACTGATTTAGGAACAGCAACAGCGGCGGCAGCTCTTCATTCACTCTCCCCTCTCAGGACCGCTTTACCGTGGTGCGCCCCAGACGCGCGCTCTCCTCACTTCAGGATGGACTCGTCTCCTTCTCTTCACCTTTACCACTGACTGTGACGCTGCCGTAGTTCAGTGGGAGTTCCCGGGGGAGGGGGCAGGAACTGTTCTTCTGTCCGCTGTTTCGCCTTTCCCCTACTGGGTTGTGTATTGTTTTGATTGAACTGCCAGCGTACGCTCCATCTCCGGGCTGCAGTTCCGAGATGGGGATGTATCTGCATCTGCTGCTTTTGCAGTACTATTTCGTCTCGAGTTTTGTGTGCAACGCCATCGCGTTCGTGGAGGAGCCCTTCGGAGGGAGGTCGGACGGGTACTGCGGGCGGATCCTCCGGGCGCAGACCCAGGGGACCCGGAGGGATGGGCACCATGAGTTCAGGCTCAGAGTGGAGGGAGACCCGGATACCTACCGGCCTGGCACCACTTACAGAGGTAGAGTTGGCTTGTTTTGACACTTTGCGCAATTAGCGCGCAAACCTCAGAAAATTTAGCAAGTGGATTGTTTGTCAAGTTGAAACAGAGGCACGTGTACTTCGCAATTTCTGCTGTGTTTTACTTCCAAAACCACAACTATCCTTAATCACATGTTCTCACTGGCATCAAGGTATTAACCACAGCAATCACATTTTATTAGAAAATTGTAGCCTGAAGGACGCAATTTTCCAAACCCAGTCTGCTTCCTCTGGCCCCTTCTGGGAGAGTACTGGTTTGATAAGGGTACTTAGAGTTATAATGTCTGACCTATATTCACTTCCTCTTCTCTCGTTGCCAGGAAATGGATGCAAACACATACTAACATACAAGTATCCACAGGAAGACTCACACAGATCTGGCTCCAATTAAGCTGACCCCTACAAATTTAAACTCCTCCTATCAGATGAATATGAGCACGTTTCAAAAAAGGCCTCTTTGGGCTGTGGCACAGAGATTGTTGATGCGTTTAGAAGAGTCACTAATCAATTGTAATCACAATTCACAATTCACTCGCATGTTTTAAGTCCAAAGCTTCTTCTTTTTTCTTCTAAAAATTGAAATTAGTCCAGTGGAAGAGTGTTGGATGTGACCTGATGTGCTGCAGTTTTGCTGCAGGCATTTAAAACATGGATTGTAGAAAGAAAGAAAAAAGGTCACCTTGTTCTAAAATCTCCCTGCTGTGATCATACCCCTGATCATGCAATGTTTTTGGCTGTGACACCACATTTCAGCAATCCATGTCTAAATTTTAATCAGCTATCAGGGTCCTATGAAGGACACCACCAAAGAAGAAATATCCCCCAGCCTTCATGGTGCTTAAGTAGGAAATAAGTTGACTAAAAAAAACCAAACAGATAAAGCTGATAATATTGACACTTCTCCTCAGCGCCAGGAGCAAATTTAAGACAAATGGTATGAAAGTCAAGGTAAGGCTGAGCCAAATAAAATTTCACCCACATCTCATTATCTGGCTCCTGTTCCCCACACAAAACTCCAAAAAGATTTATAGATTTATAGTCTTTTTTTATTCTGCTGTGAGATGCTAAACGAGTATTTATATCCCTCACTCTTCCACATCAGTCCAATACTCAAAGGAGTGCTGCTTTCACATGTTTCCCTGGGTGACCCTCTGTAACAGCAAGACCCTGATGTAACAATGTAAACGCCTCTTTTGTGTTATTGTTGAGTTTCAATGCACACATCTTTTACAGTGGTCCTCCTGGCAACCAGCCCTGCTTATTTCAGAGGCTTCACTCTCATCGCACTGAAAGAGGGCAGAGAGGGCACCACAGATGACGACTACACCGGCCAGTTCCAGGTAAGGCTAAGCAGGTGTGGAGAGAAGGAGGAAGGAGGTGGGATCGCTGCATACCGAATATGCTCTTTGCTTCTTGGGAAAGTTCCCAAAAGATGAACTCATTTGTATGCTTTAATGCACATGGGAGTCGACTTAGCTGCTCCCCGCTGTCTTCTGGTACGGAGGTTAAAGAAGGTATTGCTGACAGATGCAACACAGCTTCCCTGGATGAAGCTAGAAAGCTGTTTTGGTGGATAAAGAAAGAGATTCTTGCTACCGCTTTAGTGCAGCTCTTTCAGGGTGAGGCAGACATGGCATCATTCCCCGCTAAATAGCAGATATTTATTTCAGCGGAAGAAGGGGAAGGCAGAGAAAGAGGCATATAGGGACGGAGAGGAAAGAGATAAACAAGGAGAGTTAAGAGAGCGAGATGTGAAATGTTTGGTTCAGTAGTAACACAACTCCCACTGAGCGGCAGAGAGCTCCTGAAGAGAGGGCCAGACTTCCTCAATTACCTCCTGCTCAGTGTAAACAGGAACACACATCTGTAGCTGTGTTTCCACACGCTGATCCTAACCAGACTCTTACCAAACATGAGCGAGAGGCTTGGGTTTAAAGAGAGGAATGAGAAGGTTTAACCACTTGTTTTAGCCAATGAGTGTCACAAGCTTCCATTTCAATCATGCTAGGAACATCTGTGTTTGCTGGACCTCCATGGCTTTGGTTAAACAGCTTAGTGGAAACCCGATGATCCCAGTAGAAAGAGTGAAAGTTGGAATCTGGACAGCCAATCATATATGAACCTTCCCACGTTTAAAGCAGTTATCTTCAATCCGTAACACTATGCGGAACGACTTCTCTCTCTTTTTTTCAGCATTTGTCTTATTTACTTCAAAACACACTAATTAAAGACACCCCGAGGAGAGTTTGACCACAAGGAGAGTGGGTTTTTTTTTTGAGCTGCTATCAGACGGTGACTGAAATGAAAACAAGTATGTGGGTGGTGCGATGCTTATTCCTGCTGCTGGTTTCACACTACAAAATCAAACCATTAGAATATTGTGACTCCTGACCACTCCACCACCACCGCCTCCATCTGCCCATCAGGCCTAATCATCAGAGAGTTTTCTGTTTTTTAGGCACAAGCTGACAAACTAGCTCATGTATGTAATTAGATTACTACAGCCTTTAACTGTTATTTATGCAGCCTAACAGGCCGAAAGAGCCTCGAACGTTAGTAGAACTAAAGACCTTCACAAGTAAAATTAAAACAGTAAGTGTCAGGCAAGTGCTATGACTTAACAGTTTACCTTAACTTGTTCCGCTGATATTCATCCACTACCAATTATGGTACGCTGAATCAGTCACCGCTTTCTCTGCTCTGGCAGCGGTGTATATGAAAACTGAGTCAGCAAAAGCTTGACCTATGCCTATGAGGGGGCTGTTCTGGTTTTGACACACACAGTATGCCTTATGGTGGGCTATCGGTTGTTAACCCCCCTACAGAGGTG